TGCCGGCCACTCTGGCGGATGGCCGGTGGCTAGCCCGGCCCTGTGCCTCCCGCGTCAAGGCCACATGCAAGCCGACGGCCCGGCTGGCCGGCACTGACCCCGCAGGCCCAGCGACCCCATCCTCTTCTCTTCCTGCAGGCAGAAGGCGCGCTGCTGGGGGGTCAGGGGCAGCGGGAGGCCCCCGCTGTTGTACGTGGTGCAGGAGTGCATCACCTCCTCCAAGGCCCCCTTCATGAAGTAGACGTCGTCCCCGTCCTGGAAGAGACCGCGGAGCCCGCTGTCAGTGGGCGCCTGGGGACAGAGGCTGCCACCGTGCGCCCGAGGGTCCAGAGACACGCAGGACGCTCTGCGAGCTGCCACCGTGGATCCCCCGATGGCTGACACGGGACCCCGTGCGGGGTTTGGAATCCACGTGCTGCAGCGAGGACAGCCACCCTGTTCCACGACAGGTCCCCCTGTCCCCGTCACAGCCTCCCGCGTGTTTCACTGGGGAAGCCCCCAGCCAGCGCGGGGTGGCGGCTGCCTCCGAGGGCTGCACTGTCTAGTCTGCTCCCCGCTGTGCCCGAGGGGGACCCCGGGGGGCCCAGAGAACGGAGACCCCCGCTTATTAGGATCCACCTCACACACATGCAGCCCACGTGGGCAGGGCCGGTCCCCACCGTGTCCCCAGCGTGGGCACAGTGCCCGCCTGGCTCACGGTGAGGGGCTGCACGGTGAGCGGTGTAGAGGGCTCCCGGGACGCGGCACTGTGCCGAGGGCGCGATAGAACCCGAGCAGCGCGGCCATGCGGTGAGGGACACTGCCTCGGGGGACGGAGGGTCGGGAGAGAAGGGCCGAAGCGGAAGGAGCTCTCATTTCATTTGGTCACCTTTCTGTGTTTCGTATTTTCTCATTGGAACTTGTTAGCATTGTATTTGGGGGGAGCAGTTAGAAGGCGGAGGCTGAGGCAGGAGGATCGGGAGTTCCAAGCCAGCCTCAGCAGTGGCGAGGCACTAAGCAACTCAGTGAGACCCTGTGTCTAAATAAAATACAAAATAGGGCTGGGATGAGGCTCAGTGGCCGAGTGCCCTGAGTCCAAAACCTGGTACCAAAGTAAAAAAAGATTAGAAGGCATAAAAAAGATCCACTCAAGGCCTCTCTGAAGCATTCAAGATCTGCAGGTGTGTCCCCACGAGGCAAGGGTCAGGCACGTGCTGACCGAGCCACCCACAGACAGAGGGAGAGAGGAGGGCAGAGGGCAGGTGGAAAAGCCACAGGAAGTCTCCCGTGGCAAAATAAATGAACAAATGAGCGGAAGCCCGGCTGCGGAGCCCGGGGGCCTTGCCGTCTGGGCATGCGCCCCAGTCGCTGCCCGCAGCCGGCACAGCAGCGGGCTGCACCTGCGTGTGTAAGTGTGAGCCGACACTCAGCTCTGGGGTGAAAGCAGGTGCCCCTGGGGCCGCTGCAGTCACAGCCCAGGGCAGCCACCTCCCAGGGAGCTCGGTCCCTGGTCCCAGGCCTGGGTTCCTGACGGGGAGGTTGGAGCGGAGCCTGCGACTCTGCATTCCTCACGGATTCCCAGGTGAGGCTGGGGTCGATGGGCAGCGGGCAGCTGCTGCTGCAGCTGAGGAGCCCCGAAGAGGCCCCAGGTGGGTCAGTGCCGTGGCTGCCACCGACGTCCCCTTGACCCCTGCACTGAGTGGCCTTGTTTTGGAGCAGGGGACGCGAGCCCAGGAGCAGAGCCGCGGCTCACCTCGTTCTTGCGGCTGCACCTCACCGCCATCCACTTCTGCTCTGAACTGAAGGGGATCTCCTTTCTTCTGATGTAGGAATCCTTAATGTCACCCAAGTCCATCTAGGATCACAAAATGGGACATCTCAGGTGTCATTCTAAGCTGGTCTTGATGCAAAGCTCGGCTCGTTTCAGTCACTCATTCAGCCACCTCAGGAGGAGGAGCCAAGCTTGCGGCTCCCAGGTGGCCATTGGTTCTCCAGTGTCACACCCAGAGAGAGACGTCTCTCTTCTGTCCCCGACAGGACCCATGGTCTCTGCCTGGTCTCCACGGGAAGCCTGCTCAGGGCCTCTGCCAGGACTTGAAGGGACAGCAAATTCCCAGAAAGGATCCCTGTGTCAGGGAGGTGGCCCTGCTGCCCGCAGCCCACCGGCCCGGCCTGTCACCCATG